GTGCGCTCGAGCTCGGCCGGGCCCTGTGGAGTCTCTCGTCCTGGTGTCGGCCCGGCACCCGTGACAGTCCCTCACTGCCCCCCGCCAGGTCAGGACCGAGCAGCCCTGGGTTCCCTCGAGGGCAGGTACACGCGACAGCCACACCCGCTACTCTCCTCGGTGCCGGGGCGGGGCGGCACAGGAGGCAGGCAGTGACGGGAACAATGAAAGGGTCTGACATGGAAATTTCGGTAAGGAAACATGCAATTACACGAGAACAAACATTCTGAACGCCACTCGCAATCAACTGGACACACAGCAGCGATTATGAAAAACCAGAACAGCAAATTGAGAGCCGGGGGCAGCTCGCGCCTTGGAAAACCGGGAGCCGTCCTGGGGCGGAGCTGTGACCCTCTCCCTGGGCACATGCGTGACTCTGTGTGTGCGTGCGTGTGAAACGCATGACTTTTGGAACGCAGGACGCTGATTGGACTTGACTTAGAAGCTGGCTCTCTTCCCCTGCAGTGGAAACCACTTCTCCTGAGCAAGCCCGTCCCCTCCCACCAGGCCCGCAAGTCAGAAAAGTGGGGGGGGGGGTTTCTCTGGAGCTGCTGCGGGGACAGCCTCAGGACTTCGGGGAGTGTGCTGACGGGAGAGAGCGGAACCCCAGCAAAGAGCTCGACCTGCAGCTCGGGGCACAGGTGGGCTCCAGAGGCGAGGGTCCAGGAAAGAAATGTCTCGCCCAGAGCCCAGCTGCCCGTCAAGATCCCCGGTGCCCTCGGGCTAGTTCCTGGGGCTTGGAAGGCGGCCCCTTCCCTCCCGGCGCTGGCTGAGTGGAAGTAAATGCCGGCCTCTGGGTCCTGGTGCACATCTACGCTCTTCCTGCGGCCACCAGCCAGGGTGCTCAGGGAGGGGCAGCTCGAGAGAAGTGCGGGCCAGCTCGGCTTCTGAGCTGCAATTCACAGGCCGGGCTTCCCTTTCTTCTAGCTGGCTGTGGCTGCCTCCTCATCCTCCTCCTCCTCTTCTGCGGTGGCCTCAGGGCCTCCCCCACTGGGCAGGGAGGCATTGCTGCTAGAATCCTTGAAGTTGACTCCCCACCCAGGGCCTGGGGAGGGAGCCGACCCCAGAGGAATCCAGTTAGCCCTAAGGAGCCCACCCTGGTTGTCCCAGGGCCACACTATGAAATAGGTCCTATTATTCCTTCCAGTTATGTGCTTCACCGTCTGGGCAAAGGGGCAAAACTCCCCCAATCTGCGTAAGCCCTCCGGGGAAGCAGACTGCAAGAACGGAAACTGAGGCCCTTAACCCCCACCCACCAGTCCATCCGCAGGGATGGGTGCCTGAGCGGATTAGGGGTGCGAGTGCAAATTAGGGGTGCGAGTGCAGATTAGGGGTGCGAGTGCAGATTAGGGGTGTGAGTGCGGATTAGGGGTGTGAGTGTGGATTAGGGTGTGAGTGCAGATTAGGGTGTGAGTGCAGATTAGGGTGTGAGTGCGGATTAGGGTGTGAGTGCAGATTAGGGTGTGAGTGCGGATTAGGGGTGTGAGTGCAGATTAGGGTGTGAGTGCAGATTAGGGTGTGAGTGCGGATTAGGGGTGTGAGTGCAGATTAGGGTGTGAGTGCAGATTAGGGTGTGAGTGTGGATTAGGGGTGTGAGTGTGGATTAGGGTGTGAGTGTTGATTAGGGTGTGAGTGCAGATTAGGGGTGTGAGTGCGGATTAGGGTGTGAGTGTGGATTAGGGTGTGAGTGCAGATTAGGGGTGTGAGTGTGGATTAGGGTGTGAGTGCAGATTAGGGTGTGAGTGCAGATTAGGGTGTGAGTGTGGATTAGGGTGTGAGTGTTGATTAGGGTGTGAGTGCGGATTAGGGTGTGAGTGTGGATTAGGGGTGTGAGTGCAGATTAGGGTGTGAGTGTGGATTAGGGGTGTTAGCGTGGATTAGGGGTTTGAGTGTGGATTAGGGGTGTGAGTGTGGATTAGGGGTGTGAGTGCAGATTAGGGGCGGGAGTGCAGATTAGGGGTGTGAGTGTGGATTAGGACAGCTAGCAGCGTAGTCGGCCCGTGTGCAGAGCACTGCAGCAGGGTCTCCTGTGTTCTTCCTTATGCTCTTTCTTGGAAGGATATTTTAGGTGCAGTTCTGCATTGTGATCATCCTATTTAATTCCTGCCACCAGAGATCTCGAAGCTCTGGCCCTGCACCCACCTAGCCTCCAATGCGCTGGCGACCTGCGGGGGCAGGGTCTGGGCTGGGCCTTGGGGGAAGGGGAAGGACGAACCTCTCCTTGGCCCCCACAAGAACTCAGCTGAGATGCCAGCCCCACCCGCCAGGCCCGGTGCTCAGGTCACCCTCATTAGACCACCGTGTGGGGAGGTTTCAGCTGTGGAAAATTGCTGGGCCTTTTCTCCTTCCTCCCACCTCCTCTTTCTCTCTCCTTAAACACACATGTCAACTTCCCCTCCCTGTATTTAAGCAAACATCCCTGCCTGTGATTCAGTGCAGCCCCTTCTTATCTAAACAGTGCACAGATGTGTGAAGACACAGGCACTTGCTGCCCCGTGTGGAGCGTGCTCTGGTCCCCATCTTCTCCGAACCTACAGAGAAGCAGCCTCCTCACTTCTGCTGCACGCGTTCCTGCCGCTGCCGCCTCAGGGAGCCAGCAGCCCAGCAGCCTGCCCCGATGGGTCAGAGACAGGGGGATATCCCTCCAAAGACTCCGTCCCCCTTCCCTTTCTCAGCTCCTCCCATAGCCTGGCTTTGAAACTGCCCAGATGGGGACAAACGGAACATGGAAAGTCCCAATTCTGTTGTCAAATTCCTGTATCACTTTAGCCGTCCAGGTAAATACCACCAGTTGGTTACCACCACAACCTCCACCACCCCAGCCCCGACTCCTGTGGCCTGGGCCAGGGGCTGGGGACTGGGAAGGTGGCAGAGGACCCACCCACCTGCTCACTAGTGCTGGTGGCAGGCAGAGACCTGTGAGTTTCCGTAGGCAGAGTCTGAAGGGAAGACAGTCCACCCTCAGGGTCTGGGACAAGGGTGAAATGAGCGGGCTGAGAACATTAGCCCCCAGCTTTGGGCTGCTAGACACAATTGCCTGTTTTTCCTTCCCAGTGCAAAGCACGGCTAAGACTGCGAATCCCTGGGGCATGGGCTCTCTCTGGGTGGATTGCAGAGGCGGCCCTGTCACGGCAGGGCCCACCACGCTGTGGAGCCCTAGAGCTACTCGCTTGCCCGAGAGCACCCCATCTGAGCGTGCCCTGCCCCCACCTCACCCGGGCAGGCAGCACAGAGCTCCAGCCTGACCTCAGACCTGCCCATCAGAATCTGTCCTTTTAAAACTGGTCCCAGGTGACTTGACTTGCACATGAAAACAGGGGGAGCCCTCTTTGGAGAGACAGGCTGGTGAGAACAACCCGCAGAACTCCAGCCGGGAGCTGCAACCTTGTGGAGTGTGGGGATGGGGAGGAAGATGCCCAAATTCTGCAAAGTGGAATGCCTGCACACCCCGACATCTGAGGAACCTGGTGCTTTAGTTCAGAGCTCAGAGTCAGGGCCTCCTCGAAAACCTTCCCAATCGGAATTTCTAGGGGTGCAAGTTAGCAAGCTCCCCTCGCAGCACTAAATTGCTAAATTTAGGGACAGCTCTCCTCTCTCCTAGACTGCTATCGGATGGCTGCTACAGATGTCTCGTCCTGGGGAGCAAGAGAGTCCTGGCACTTCTGGACCCAAGGTGCCTTAGAGGTGAGACCAGCCTGCCCTTGTGTCCCTTCGTCTCCTACTGCCCGGGGGAGGGGAGCGGCCGTGCCGTCCACCGGAGACCTGCGGGCGCCAGACAGGGAGGGCACCTCCGGCCGCGAGCCTCCTGCAGCCCTGACCCAGGCGGCTCCCACAGCTGGAGCTGAGATGCCTTTGCACAAACCCTTTTGCTATCTGTTTCAAAAAAAGAGAAACAGCGACAGGAAATGACATCTGGTTGCGGCAGTGGGGGCCTTCAGTGGGGTGGCAATGGCACCCAACGCCCAGGCTAAAAGAGATGTCTCTTCTTATCAGCCAGAGGCAAACCGAAAGGAAACGCCAGTGTTCTCTTTGGCTGGGCTGGCGTCTCACCATTGCACCCGTCGGGTACCTTAGCACGTGAGAATCTTTCTACACCAGAGCGTAACTCCCATAGAATTTTTACAAGTCCTCATCCCATACCTCAGAAGAAATAAAGCGTCTCCGTGCTTTGGCGTGGTTTGGGGGGACTTGCGAATATCTGCTTGTTTCTGGGTCAAAGTGCCAGTTGTGCCAGGTTTGGAGAGGCCCTGCGGATCTGGGAACTACATGGGCTGGGCTCTCCGCAGTAACCGCCCACGAAATCACACGTCGCGTGGACGAATTCCTTAGGCAGGAAGCATATAACCTAACATGGGACGCCCTGGGCCCAGCAAGCTGTCGCAGACGACAGCACTCTTGGGTCCAGAGGGAGGCTCAGGAGGGAACGCAGAGCAGACACACCTTGGGTCCAGGGGCCCTGGCTTCTAAGTCCAGCAAGGCCAGTGACCTGGGCGCTCAGAACGAGTCTGGAAATCCTGGCCGTGTCACGCCTAAAATTAAAGGGGTAGACAGGGTCCTCTCTGGGGCCTCCTGTGGGTCCAACATCCAGACGCAAGCGGGCTTTCGCATTCTAGGTGGCGGTCCCCACACTGAGCTGGGCTGGCGGGGAAGGAGCATCTGAAACCCGAGAAGACGTGGAAGAGAAACCGGGCAGGCTGGAAGCTACATTCTTGTGGAGCAATTATGCACCCCTCTCTCCCGGGAGCCGGCCCTGCACGTTATTCACAGGAGCAGACCGGAAGGGGCGGGCAGCCTGCCTTGCCGCCTGGTCCCCCTTCAGCCCCAGCCCGCCCACGCCAGGCACCGCTGCCAACGGGGACCAGAAAGCACCCGGGGGCATGGGGGGGGGTTGTGTGTGCAGGTGCGAGGGTGAGGAGTGTGTGTGTGACTGAGGGGGGGAAAAAGTCACAGCCCACATTGCCATTGATTAATTGAGTGATTTTTAGTCAAGTGAATATTGATACGCGGCAGGAGAAGCATGAAAATAAAGTGAACACGCACGGGGGTTCCCGTTAACATAAGTGATAACATCAAAACATCAGGTAAGCTGCATTCAAAACAAACACAGAGGAAGTGGAATGTAAAACATTTTCACAGTATTCCAAGCTTTCGTAAGAGATTTAGACAGGAAAAGAGGCGTCCCACCCGAAGGAACTGGGGGAACAGGAATGTCGTCTAGGTCCTGGCGTCCGCGGGGCAGGTGCGGGCGGGTGGGCGGCGTGTTGTCCTGGGAGCCGCCCGGGGTGCTCTCCCGAAATGGCCCGCCCGGGCCGGCTCGCCGGTGAGGCTGCAACCGCCGAGCAAGAGTTCCTGGAGTCGCTGGAGCAAAGCGGGTTCGGGGCGGGGAGGGGGCCGCGGCTTACAGGCCAGGGGAGCCGGCTCGGCCTGGTCTCCGCCTCTAGGAGAACCTGGAGCGGAGCCACAGGCTCACATCGATCGGGAGCCAACCGCTGCACGGGGTGTTGTAAAAACAGATTGTTCCCCGAATTCTCACTCAGCGTTCTGTCTCCTAAGATAACTACGAACGTGCCTCAAAAAAGATTTAGCTGAGTTCTGCCGACGGCCCCGCAGGTCTCTGTCCAGAGTGATCACTTTAAAGCTTCACGAATCTGACCTTTGCACCGGCAACGATTACCCAATCAGACACAGACCTCCTCCTCTTTTGGAGACCAACGTCCAAGCCAATGGGCACGCACGTTGGCTTCGTTACGTCCTTCTGTTGACAAAAACAGAAGTCTGTGATACTGCAGCGCGGGGCCCACAGATAAGCAGCCCTTCTGGTCCTGAGGTTGGGGAGGGGATGCAGACACAGTCGGCGTGTGTCCAAAATCTTCGGAGCCCTTGGGTGAGGCCCCCAGGCCGGGGACTCTGAGGCTGCCCGGCACCCGCAGCGGCAGCTCGAGTTTCCCACTCGCTCTCGGCTCTCTGAAACGCGGCTTCCCAAGGCGAGGGAGGCCACCCTCTTCTGCCCTCCGCGGTAACTGCTAGTGCCCCAGCAAACCGGCTGCCAGGGCCCCGTCGCCCGAGCCGCTGGGTCCAAACGGGCAGCAAGGCAAGCGCCAAACTCGTGAGTCAACCAACCGAAACGAAGGCCCAGGTCCACACACGCATGAAATCACTCTGAATTTCGGTTTGACAGCAGGAAAGCAGAATATTTCTAATTAGCTAATATGTATATACATATATATACACACATTCCTTAATCATCCAAAATGACAGGCAAATTACTGAAGGCCCCCAACACTTTCCGATTCAAGGCCAGAGAGAACCGCGCCCTCCCCCCACCCAAATAAAAGGTGTTAAATGATGGGATCACTAATTGAGAAAGGTTAGTTACACCAGGATAACCGTGGGGAGGGTGACCAGGTTGGCACGCCGATACCCCACGGTTTCCACGTCAGGCTTGGCCGTGGGCAGGGGCAGGCCGCAGCCCCCGCGGCAGCGTCCGGGTTGGGCACGGACGTTCGCCAAGAGAGGCAGTCACCAAGGCCCCGGCGGCGTTACCGGGAATCATGCATCCGGCTTAGGGGGAAGAAATTAACATTCATTTTTTTTAGAATGACTTCCTACACACCGGACAAGAAAAGTAAAGTTGTCTACGCGAACTGGCTCACATACATCCCTTGCCAAACATGAGGGCTTTCAGAAATATCTTAGGGCACTTGGGGAAAAAAAACTGCAAAGTTGTTTTGCTTTTGAAACTCTCTCCTTGGATGGAAACAACTTTCCCTCTGCAGAAATGAAAAAAAGAAAATGTAAAAAGTGCAGAGGACAGGCAGGCAGGCAGGCTGATCTCCAGGAACCCAAGTTTAAAGGACTCCTTCTCCACAGGGGAGCGGGCGAGCCCTGTCGGCACGGTGCTGGCGCCCAGGGCCGGCAAGCGGGACCGGCTGGGCGGAGGGCCACAGGCCTCACTGCCACACTCACCTCCCGCCTGCACCTCCAGACAGCAGCCCACAACGGGCCGAGAGGCCTTGCCTTAGCGCACCTCTCGAATGCTCCATGTCGACTTTAAAAAAAAAAAAAAAAAACTTGAAAAGTGGTTTGTTTTTTACCGTTGATGTTCTTTAAAAAATGCTGATTGAACAAACAGATGAAATGAGAATGGTGGTCCCTCCACCCCGTTTCACAGTTCCCCCTGACTCGCGATTTCCTGGACTGTTCTAAAGTGGTTTTCTTCCCCCGTTCTTTATGTTCTCAAAAACCCACTATCCCTGGCCTTTTCAGTCTGAAGGTCATGGTCCTGCTCGCGCCCGCTGAGCCTTCCTTTCCTCTCTGACACTGGCCGAGTCGTGTCCAAAGACAGTCCTGTTGGGGGGCGGGGGGCAGTGCCTGCAGGGACCCCCTCTGCAGCCCCTTGGCAGGCACCATGAGATTCTGCACCCGGCACTCTTCTCCCCTGCACCTGTCACCTCCTGGAATCCGTCTTAAAGCCTAAGGGTGGCGTGTGTCTGTTTCTGTCTAAGCAGGTGAGAATCCACTCTGGAACGAGACACCCCAGCCGTTAGAACTGGCCGGGTGCAAAGGCACCCATCAGCCGACAGGTCATCCGACAAGCTGCAAAACTCAGTTTTTTGCTGCCGGCTCTCATTTTTTGCCCACTGCCCTCCTTGCCCGTGTGGGCGTGCTGGCAAAGGGGGTTCTGTTTCTTAGCGACCGCATCTCCGGCGGAGATGGTCTGGCACCTCCTCGGCCCCACGTGCTGAGAGCTCAACGCCTCCCTAACCCTAAGTGGCCCTGGCCTCCCCTGGGCGCGGCTGCCCGGGGCCCGGAGCGTGGCTGTGGAGGGAGGGGCGTGAGAAGGCTGCAAGGACAAAGCCAGCAGGACTACGGGGTCCACTACCACAGGAGCGAGACGCGTGCTGCGGGACCGCTGGGTCCAGGGCTGTCCGCTCTCCCCCCCCACCCCCCAGCTCCCCCCCCACCCCGCCCCGAGGCCATCACTTAAAGACAGACTGAAAAGTGGGGCACTCGTGGTTCTTCATCTTCTTCATGAAGTTTCTGAACTCCTGGTTTCTCTTGTCCCACCTGTGGATGGCCGTCAGCAGGTACTGGCTCTTCACCTTCCGGCCCAGGATGAGGAAGTGGTGGCTGAGGTTGTCCAGCTGGTGGCACGGGCAGTCGGCCCCGTTCTTCAGGTACAGGACGAGCTTCTTGAGTTCCTTCTTCTTGATGGGCCCCAGCTTCAGCGGCTTCTTCTTCTTGGGGACGATCTTCTTGTCGCCATTTTCCTTCTTCACCTCCTTTATTTTCATCCTCAGGGCTAGAGGCGGTGGGGCAGGAGAGGAGAGAAAGAGGGGAGAGAAAGTGTTTTAGAACAGTTTTGCACCTGAAACAATGAGCCACGGGCAGGGGAAGACGAAAAGCACACAGCGAGTAAAAGGAGGAGGCGGTCTTATCCATCCAAACCCAGGTCTCTGTCGCTCGCCTGCTACTGACTCGGAGCCCGGGTTTATGTGGTCTGATCTCGGTAACTGCCACTGGGCACCGTAAGAGGCTCAAATCAATTTTCAAGACCAAATCACATTTCTCTTTTATAAAATTCAGCAACTCAGAGTATCACGCGCTGCTTCAGGTGATCACGAGATCCAATGTAATCCACATCATCAAATGCTACAGAGATCGGCATTCACAGGGGGAAAAAAACTGAGGCTGTTGAGAGTGTTATTGGTTTAGCTTTTTAACATCCACAGACGTAAAATCCCACAGGGTGGGTGGGTCCCGTCAAGGAGACAGCCAGCATCTTACGTGCGCGCCCAGCGAGGGGAGACAAAGAGCGTTTCAGACTGTCGCGGTTGGCCGCGTGTGACATCATCGCCCGCCCTCAGCACGGGAGGAACCGGAGCGCGGGTCGCTGCGTCCCGTCCCCGCGGTGGCTGCCCGGCAGTCCCTGCAGACGCTCTGCCCGCCACGGTCCCCACTGCAGCGCCCCCAGCGACAGCCCGCCCAGAGTCGACTCTGCTCTGACTTCCCGACAGGTCCCAATCCAGCAGGCGGTCCGGGGATGCCCCGCGAGACCTGACGCCGCACACAGCTTCTCCTCGCGGCCCCGGCGTGAGGGCCAGCCGTGTCCCCCGAGCGTCTCGCCCCTCTGTCTCTGCGGACCTTGCATTAACACTGTCACCACCACCCTGGGGACTGGATGGATCCCGCGGAGTCTACTGAGGAAGACAAGCTCCCACCCAGACCAGCGCCAAGCCCAGGGCTCCCCGCACGCCGGCGCCCTCCCCGCGTGCGAGGAGCGCGGCTGGGACCGGCAGGGGGGCGCAGCGGGCAGGAGGCAGCGGAGACCACCGCTCCCTGGCCTCCCCCTGACACGGGCCACACCGGGCTCGGTGTCCACTGCCGGCTTACAAGCCCTCGTCCCTGGGTTCACGGGGGCAAAGACCCCGCCTCCTCTAGGCTGGGGCTCACTGACCGAGAGAAGTTCTCCGTGCGGGGCTGGATAAGGGACCAGCAAGAGGAGCCTCTCTGCCCCGGCCGGGCTCTCGTCTCTGCCCGCCCTGCAGAGCCCTGGCAGTGCCGGAAACCGCGCTGCAAAGCAAGGCAGCGCCCCGCACGGCAGCAGGCAGGAAGGACATCTCTGCTCCCTCAGGAGGCCCTCCAAGGCGTGGCTCCAGGTCCGGAGAGAAGCCCCGGCTCCTCCCCACGGCCCAGCGCCCGGAACCAAGCATGGCCTTCGCAGTGACCAAGGGGAGTTCCAAGAGGGCTTGGCGCACGCTGCAGATGGCACGGCGGCGCCTCCTGTCGGCGGAAAGCCGCGGTTGACTGGATGCCCACCACGCGCTGGGCTCGAAGATGACCGCAGGCTGAGCGAGTCCGTGGCCTCTTGCGCGGCACTCACAGAAACCACGTGAAGAAGCCACTGCTGTTATTTTATTACGGCCTTTTGCAATCAAGGAGGACTCACGTCAAATAACGACAGCACAGAGCCGGTGTGTGGGACCCAGAGTCGGGACCGGAATCCCACCGGCCCCACGGACAGTGCTCCTTCCTGCCGGGGGTCCTCGAACTGCGGCCCGAGGGCCACATGCGGCCTGCCCAGGACATTTATCCGGCCCGCCGCGTGGTTTTGGCGCCGCTGCCTGTCCTGCTTAGCGGCCGACTCGTCCCGGGCCCACGGTGCACACGTGTGGAATGTGCGCCGCGCTCCCCAACGGTCTGGGGGACAGTGAACTGGCCCCCTGTTTAAAAAAGTTTGAGGACCCCAGTGCCACACGGCTGAAAATGATACTGCTCCGGTGGAAACTATTTCACTCTTCTGATTGTGTTGCTTTTAATCACGACTCAAATCAAACATTAGTGTTCCTCTGCCGTGACCGTGTAAAGGAATTTGGTTTGCAGGGTGTGGGGTGGACGGCGAGGGAGAGGAGAAACCGGACGACGGAAATGTGCTCTGCATTAGACCCTGCTTCTTGCCGTCTGGCTCACTTTCGTTTCTGAGGTGGGGAGAGTAGGGAAGAAGGCACACATGGCCAGAAATTACTAACATCTTTGAATCGTTCTAGGGTTTATTTCAGGGATGCAGATTACCAACACTGTCTGCACAGGCCACTGGCCGTCCGGGCTGATATCCCGGTGCCTTGCAGAGTGCGCTCTGGGGCAGGGGTGGAGGGGCGGGTGCTGGCCTGGGGAGCAGCCTGGGACTGATCCCCCCACACGACCTCCACCTCTGGGCTACCCGGCCCACAGGCTGAGCTTGCAATGCAGGGGGGCGGCAGGGAGGAGAAGCCCCAGGAAGCAGCAGCGGGGCTGACAGCAGCCTCTGGGTCCCCCATCTGTAAAGCGTAGAGCGCGTCTGCCTGCCGGCCTGGCAGAAGGACCCTGCTGGGGGCCAGGCCAGGCAACACTGGGGAGACCCGGGTCCGCGCCCAGCCCCACCCCGTGCACTGCGCCCTGCGCACCCCGGAGGGAGGGTGGGGCAACTTAAACCACCACCTCAGGCCCTTGACCCCAGCTCTTCACAACAGCTGGACCCCGAACTAAAGCAAAATAAAAAACAAAAGCAAAAAATTATTATTATTATTATTTTTTTAGCAACAATTTAACGCCCGCCAGGGGTGGGCCGTTAGTGCCTACCTAGGCACCAGCAGCAGCAGTTCAGAGACCCAGGAACGCCGAAACCCAGACTCGAGGCCGCAGCGAGGGGTTGTCTGGGTCTTTCTCAGTAATCTTAAAATAAATAATCCCTCACGCTTGAGTAAACCATTACAATTTCATTCCACTTTCAACCACCCAGACCATGTTTCTGCTCACAAATCAGACTTCCCTTGATAGGCTCCCCAGGAAGCGTGGCGTGGCCGCATTTCTGAGGCTGAGCTGAGACCCAGGGAGCCAGGACACCCTCCCCCGTCCTCGCTCTCTGCAAAGACCTTCCGCCTGCCGGCCTCCCGGCTTCCGGTCACGGTCACGGTCCCACCGCCGCCACCGCCAGACGCCGGGGCCTGAGTGCGGGGCAGCAGCCACGGGCCGGGGCCACTCCCGGCCTCCACCACCGACGTGGGACTGCTGCAGGAATCCAAGGCGGAGGGGCCGGGACGGGGAACGGGCCGAGTCAGGAATCGACTTGCAACTCGCCTGACCGCAGACGACGGCTGCAGAGAAGCTGGTCAGGGGGCGGCGAAGAGAAGAGAAAGAGGGACCAGGAGCACCTTCCCTGGGGCACGAGGAGGAAGAGTTATCACAGAAGCCATCAGAGCCACCGACTCTGGGGACCCCGCAGCCCAGCGTCACGACGGCCGCCAGGGGAAGACGCCCGGAGAGGAGGAGACGCCCCTCAACCCCAAACGCCGCAGACTTCACGGATGAGGCTGAAACCGGAGCGCCGGCGTGGGGACTCGGGGGGATCGTGAGGACCAGGGTGGGAGGCGACGGGGGTGAACTCCAGACAGCTGAAACCAGCCGGAGGGAAGCCGGAGGAGGGAAGGCGGCGGGAAGCCGCACAGACACCCCCAAGCTTCTGCACCGCTCACAAAGAGTCACCGCCACCAGGACTTCCGGCCAGGCACATTGACTGGATGGAGCACACGCCGCCGTTCCCACTCCTTCCTGAGGCCAGCTTAAAAATTATAGTCTAAAAAAAGTTATGAACACATGCAGGAACGTGGCAGAGAAAACAGGAACACATCAACAGCATGCTGTATAATAACAAGGAAGCAAATGGGTGGTGGGAGCTGGCCTGAGGGAGGGAGGGAGGGAAAAAAGCCGAAACGCAGCCGCTGACAGACAGGGGGCGCCACAAAGGGAAAAAAACAAAACAAAACAAAGCAAAAAAAAAATAAAACGAGCCGACACAGCAGGACCCAGAAATGCTCCTGAACTGGGGGCCCTGGGCGCTCCCGGCGGCCTCAGCGTGGGGACTGGTATAAAGCCTGTGTAGGGACACTCAGCCCCACTGCTCTGGGCCGTGACTCCTGGGAAGCTCAGCCCACGCTAGCAGCAGCCAAAGGGCGCATTCCGCACAGCCGGCTTGACCCAGCCTGGGGCTGGGGTGCCCCAGGCACCCAGGAGGACAGGGTGCCTCCACGTGGACAGCAGAGGGTTCGGTGAAAGTCCGCAGGGTAAAGAGAGAGGCAGATCTCAGAGCACTGCGCGACGTGCCCCAGTCGGACCACTGCGAGTTTCCCTCTGACGACACTAGTAGCTCAAAAGAAAAGACTAAAAGGCTACAGGCCCCCCCAAAAAACTCCACAAGGAGGCCCGACGATCACGGGGCCCTGCACACACACACACACACACACACACACAGAGCTCCCAATTCTGTGCCTCACTGTTAAATTCAAATGGACACTCGGGGACTGGCAGGTATTTACGGAAAGCTTCTAAATAGGAATGACAGACACCAAAGCATACAAAACAAACAGAAAAAAGAATTCAGAGATAACAGAGTCCATGTAGGGAACATAAACTTTTCATAATGATAATAATATTAGACAAGGTTTTGTATTTATAAAACAAGAACAGAAAGCTAGTGAAAGGAATCTTCAGAGAACCAGAAAGGGTACTTGGAAATTTAAAGCATAAGAGGGAAAAATAAAGACTGTAACGTAAGTGCTTTAAGATAGGGTTGAAGAAATTTCCTCAAAAGCTGAACAAAATGACAGAGAGATGGAACACAGAAAAGAAAGAAAAAGACAGAAAATCAATCCAAGAGTTTCACCGTCACCTACCTCACTTACCTATCAAAAAAATGCCACATTAATCTAGATGACAACGTGGGACTCCAGGAAAACAAAAATCTAACATGAGAAAAGCAAAGAAAGG